TAAAGGCAGCCTTTTCAACATATAACTATAAAATCATTTTTGAATCTGACCAGAATATCAAACATCCCTCAAGTTAGAAACTCAAAAGCCCAAGTGAACACAGTAAAAAATATCTTCCAAGATACTATTTGAAATCCGGTGCTTGTCAATGAAACTGGGCGTACCATTTCTAGGTGACTTATAGAAGTCTTCTAGATGTCGTTCATGTGCCAGACACACTGAAGGCGTGGTGGCTTTGAAACAGAGCAGGCCGCTCACTGCACACAACCCTGACACAACAGTAAGACCAGCAGGGTCCGAGCTCCGTATCTCTGGAACACCCTGAACTCTCTGATCTGCGGGTTCCTCATTTGTATATAAGGAGAATCAGTTGTTGAAAAGTCAGCACAAGATACATAGGCTTCAAAAAGATAAAAACTATCATTATTGCTCCCTGCCCCACACATGATCCAGGTAAAAAAGCTAGAGGCGGATGGCCACCTTCCATATCAGTTTTAGAAAAGGCCTGCCAATTTCCCCTGCTGTAATTCTGACCGGGGTTGGGGTGAATCTTGAGATCAATCTGGGGAGGCCTGATACTTCACAGTGGTGACTCTTCCAACCCATGCACATCACGTTTCTCATTTAGGTCTTATTTCATTTTGGTCAGCAGCATTTTGTAGTTGTCGATGTAGGATCCCTGGGCATCTTCTGTTAAATCTGTTCCTAAATACACTTGGCAATGTTCAACTATAACATCATCCTGCACTTGGCATTTCCTGCTAGATTCTTCACGATCGTGGCTCACACAGCTCTCATGGGGGTAGAGTCAAGAGCAGCAATTGGAGCTTGTGCCTGCCCTGTTGTAACTGAAAGGGGGGGTTCAGCTGGAATGTGCACTTTCAGGCTCTTCCCCTTCCCTCCTGACACCACCACCACCTAAGGCACTCCCTGTCCTCCTGCTCCAATCACCCCTTTCACTAAAGAAAGATACCACGAGGGTGAGGGGAAACAGTATAGATGAAAGGCCCTGACTACTTCTCTTGGGGCAGATCCCAGGCCCCTCCCCCTCCTGCCCTGTCACCCAGACTCTATCTGCACCTAAGCAGGGACAAGCTCTCCTGAGAAACCCATCAGCCCTGTTTCAGTCTCTTAGGGACTCCTCACAGTTCCTAGTCCCCCACAGCTGCCACCTTCTTGTTGCTGAGTGAAATCATACAGTCACTTAATGACTTTTAACAAATATTTTCTATCACTCACAGGATTTGTACAAGGGAAGATACACAACAAGTGACCTACCTGTCATCTTTAAGCCAAAAGTTGCATGGGTGTAAAAATATATGTATGTGTAAATCTAGATCAAATATTACATTATGTTTGTATATTTATTCATTTTATTCCCACCCTAGAAAAGGCAAGACTGGGTAAGAGAGAAATGGAAACGGCACTGTGACACAGTTAACGGCAAAAACCAAATGACTGAGGCAGGAATGAGCCCAGGTCCCCATCAGCCAGGCTGACAAAGTGGGTACTTACGGGACCACGCTCCAGAAAACAGGAAGCTCAATGTGAGACAGACAGTGCAGTGGGCGATGGGGGATGAAATCCCACACCTGAATCAGATGACCCACAAAACAAAACATACTTCTAAAAAATAAACATCCCAGCTCACCTCTGTGATCTGCATGCCCCAAAAAAGGAGTCTGGTTGGCTAATTTGTTAACGGTCATCACTATTATGGTACTAGGACTTTAAATGCAACGTTTCCCACACAGAAACCCCGATGGAAGAATGTATACTCACTCATCCCAGAGATGTTGATTGCTTTCACGGATTTCTTCATTTTGTAAAGAACCATCCGGTCCACATCCAAAGCCTAAAATGTAGAGAATATAGTCATTAAACCGTGTCTGTGCTGAGATCACACTAGCAGCAAGCACCACGTGGGTGCCACCCTGACGGCCCTGCTTGCCTCTGCCAGGTCCCTCAGTGCCTGTTTCTGAGAGAGAAGCCCTCAGTGCGGTGTGAAAGACTGGTTTCCCAACAGCACTGAGCGAAAGCTTGTTGTCAATTAATGAAAAGCAACTCCTCCTCTCGGGCCTCGTCCTCCTGCAGCATTTGAGCTGTCTCCTGCCCACAGCACCTGCTGGGCCTGAGCCCTCTGCAGTGAAGTGAGTTATCCCAGCGGAACCCTCAGTTCTCCCTGGTTACCAGCAAGGCTCTGAAATGTGCCTGCCCACCAGGGACTCCCACTGTGCCTGTGCCCCTTCCCCTTACAGAGCCCTGACAAGGGGGAGGCAAACCCATTCCAGATTCGAAAAAAACCCAAATATCATTAGCTTATAAGCTGTGTTAGAAGATGGGTCCTAATGCTTCCCAAGTCTCAGACTTCTCCTCCTGAAACCAGCAGGAATAATGCCCACTTTGCAGGGTTGAATAATTAGAGGCACTCACATATATAATATTCAGCATTTATTTACAGAACAGCTACTACACGGCAGCTGTCTATGGCACTCACAATGCCCAGGACATAGGAGGTGCTCAAACAATATTTGTTCAACGACTAATCACACCTGGAGATTTAATTACATCTCAATTTTCACAATAGATACAAAGGTAAAAAGATCCTTTTATTTTGAGAGGGGATCTTGCTCTATCGCCCAGGCTGGAGTGCAGTGGCACAATCTTGGCTCACTGCAGCCTCCATCTCTGCCAGGTCCCTCAGCACCTGTTTCCAGCAGACAAGCCCTCAGTGGTATGAAAGACTGGTTTCCCAACGGCACTGAGCAGAACCCTCCTGGGTTCAAGTAATTCTCCTACGTCAGCTTCCCAAGAAGCTGGGATTATAGGGGTGCATCACCACACCTGGCTAATTTTTGTGTTTTTATTGAGATGGGGTTTCACCATGTTGGCCAGGCTGGTCTCAAACTCCTGACCCCAGGTGATTCACCTGTCTCGGCCTCCCAAGGTGCTGGGTAAAAAGTCCTTTTAGCCCACTTAAACAACATAGAAAAGCAAAGGGTGAGTTGTGACTGGAGGGAGAGAACATTTGTGAACTGGGTTAGTGAGGCCAATCACAGGCTATCTTATAAAATGAAATGAAGCACCCAGCCCTACAGCTACTGACATATAATAACTACTGCAACTGAGTGTCCATTATTACCCCATAGTAAGTTTAGATCATAAAAACCTGCGAGGACCTATCAGCCGAAACACAACACAGCTCCTCAGAGCAATGGATTCTGGACTTCCAGCCTTCCTGAAATCACCTCTTGAACCAGTTTTCAATAGCAGAATCATAAGCCCTAGTTCTAATGCCACAATTATTGGATGCTGAAAACAGACGTGATTAGTGCTGGCAATTTTAAAGGGAAAAATGATCACAAGGCACCAGACATTTGACAGAGTGGCTGTAATACAAAGAGGAGTTATAATCATGTCATTATACATTTGTCCAAGCCCATGGAATGTACAAGAGTGAGCCCTAATGTGCAGCACAGGTATGGGTGACAGTGACGTGTCCTTGTCAGTTCACTGAGGTCACCAGCGTACCACCTGTGGTGCGGAATGTTAATAATGGAGAAGGCTGTGCATGTCAAGGGACAGGGGTATTTGGCAAGTTTCCGTATTGCCCGTTGCATGTTCCTGTGAACCTGAAACTAAAAATGTCTATTTAAATGAAAAAGGCATTCTCTTCTGCCTTACTGAAGAGTAGACAGTCACTGATACAAGATCATCGAGATTTCTTATATGGAGTTAACTCGTGTTTTCCTAAGTGGTCATCTCTGATCCATTCCTACCTTCCTTCAGGATATAAAAGGGGATTTGGAAATAGTAAATAACTCAGAAAAATCACAATTGAATTCTCTTTCTCATGCAGTCTCATGACTTTTCTGCCCCAGTCTGCCAGCCACAGACTCGCGGGGCCCAGGCCGGGCTTAGCCAGCACCAGCCGGGAGACTGAGATTGTGCTCCGGGCTATGCCAGAAACACCAGTTCCTGAAGCTTAGACCACATGTCGGAGGGCACAACTCTCCCATCCCAGTGAGGGTCCATTCTTGAAAAGCACATTTGATCTAGTACCGCGCAGCCTAGCACTCCCACAGAATCTGGGCCTGCCCAGGTTTTGCCACTGGCTACAGCAGGATCTGATCCACACTCGTAATATTAACAAAAGCTGCTCCTTCTCTTTCTAAGCCTCCCCACAGATACTGGAAGACACCAATGCCAGCCTGTTAGGCTCTCTGGAAGCATTAGAAGTCAGCCACCATTTCTACTAAGGACCTTCCATGGGCCAGGAAGTGTAAAGGGAGAAAATACCTCACGAATAAATAGAAAAAGAGGCAAGGCATGGTGGCTCATGCCTTTAATCCCAGCACTTTGAGAAGCTGAGGTAGGAGGCTCATTTGAGGTCAGGAGTTTGAGACCAGCCTAGCCAACATGGTGAAACCCCATCTCTACTAAAAATACAAAAATTAACCAGCCGTGGTGGTGGGTGCCTGTAATCCCAGCTACTCAGGAGGCTGAGGAAGAAGAATCGCTTGAACCTGGGAGGTGGGGGTTGCAGTGAACTAAGGTTGCACCACTGCACTCAAGCCAGGGTGACAGAGTGAGACTGGGCAGCCCAGGCAGTAAAGCTTCCTAGTGTTCTCAGAATAACATCTTTAGCAAGCTTTAAAAAACCGATCATCTGAGCCCCGCCTGCTTCTCCAGCATCAACTCCTGACGTTCTCCCCCACTTTCACACTTACCCTAAATTTCCATCATAACAGCTACCTGTGGCTCCCCTCCACCTGCTGTCTTCCCCGCATGTGCACACGCTCTCTCTCCAGAGAATATCCCCCCGACCCTACCCATTGGTTCAGCGCTGTCTCCCTCTCCTGAGAAGGCCTCTGATGCCTCCCCACCCCTATTCCAGGGTAGCAGGTATGCATCTTAGCTTTTCCCCTAACGTCCTGTACTTAGCATTTCATCAGATAAAACTGCCTGAGCACCTACTACCTGCCAGGTATTACGACACAATGGTGAGGAAAACAGGACGAGGCAATACCTGTCCCTTCTTGGAATTCACAATCCTGCAAAAGATAATTCCCCAGAGAAACAAATTACCAATGAAAACAGGAGCCCAGGACTTACTGCATGCACGTAACTGCTTTTTTTACTTGTCCAGCTCAGCCTCTAGACCTGTGATGTCCACTGCAATAGCTACCAGCACATGTCTACAGAGCACTTGAAATGTGGCTCATGCTGAGCGTGGTGGCTTCCTAATCCCAGCACTTTGGGAGGCTGAGGCAGGTGGACCACCCAAGGTGGGGAGTTCAAGAATAGCCTGACTAACATGAAGAAACCCCCATCTCTACTAAAAATACAAAATTAGCCAGGCATGGTAGTGCATGTCTGTAATCCCAGCTACTTGGGAGGTCGAGGCAGGAGAATTGCTTGAACCCGGGAGCCAGAGGCTGTGGTGGCTGCAGTGAGCCGAGATGGCACCATTGTACTCCAGCTTGGGCAACAAGGAGACTCCATCTCAAAAAAAAAAAAAGAAAGAAAAAGAAAAGAAATGTGGCTAAATGCCACATTAAAACAATACTGTGGACATCTTAGGTTATAGAAAATATCAACAAAATTAATCGTGCCACCTCTTTTTAGTTTCTTTAATGCTTTCCTCTAAGGTCACTGTTAATTTGTTCATCGTCTCCCCAGTGCCTAGCAGAGAGCCTGCCATAGAACAGGAATCAAGAACAAGGTCAGGAAAGGATGGTGAGCCCAAAAGGCAGGGGCTCAAGTGCCAGGCGACAGTGCTACCCAGAGGGGAGCAGGGAGAATGGGGCTTGAAGGTTACTTAGGCCACAGGGAGGGTAACGGATTAGGGGAGGTCAGAAGTGCATTCAGGGAGAGGCTACACACTGAAGAGGGAACTGACTGGAACCCATGGTTCAGGCCATTCGGGGCTAAGGCTAGGCCATTCAAGAAAAGGCAGCCAGGGAGATCTGTGCTGCTCTCTTAACCAGAGTTCAGCCCTCCTGCCTCTGTCACTCCCATAGATGTTAGAATGATCTTGTGTCTATAGGAGTTTGGCTCAACCATGCTAAAAACATGAGGACTAGGCTGGACGTGGTAGTTCATACCTACTGTAATACCAGTGCTTTGGAAGGCCAAGGTGGGAGGAAAGTTTGAGGCCAGGAGCTTGAGACCAGGCTGGGCAACAGAGTGACAGCCTGTCTCTACAAAAAATAAAAATAAGTGTTAGCCTGGCATGGGAACACGCACCTGTAATCCTAGGCTGAGAAGGGAGGATCACTTAAACCCATAAACTGGAGGCTGCAGTGAACCAAGATTGCTCCACTGCCCTCTAGCCTGGGCGACAGGCAGACCGGTCTCTTAAAAAAACAAAAAAAAAAAACAAAACAAAAAAAAAACCACACACACAACGAAAAAAACCCAGACAAATGAAAAAATAAAACATGGGACTAGACGTGGTGGTAAACCTCAATCTGATCACAGACAACATACCTTAATAACACAGCTGAACTCTGACAAATTTCCTCCCGTATTACATCATGGGACATACCCCTCCCTAATCATTTACTGCATAAAACTCTTGAAAATATAGGTCACCATATGGAATCTTCTGCCTTTGTTACTGAAGAGGAAGTCGTGCTTCCTGAACTCAGGGACAAGTGCATAAACTTGCTTTTCTACAATCTCTTAAACAGATTAGAAGTAAAGGTGAGGTAGGTGGAAGAGGTAATTTTTAATTAAAAGTACAAGGAGGGGGGAGCAATTATCTCCCTATTCAAAAACACACCCTTCATTATGGTATACATTTATAGGCAATTAAAATTAAACTTGGTCAAGACAAGAAGCTACAATGATTGTTTAAGACTGAGTGTTAGGCCAGACTCAGTGGCTCATGCCTATAATCCCAGCACTTCAGGAGGCCGAGGGGGGCGGATCACTTGAGGTCAGAAGTTCCAGACCAGACTGGACAACACGGTAAAACTCTGCCTCTACTAAAAATACAAAAATTAGCTGGGCATGGTGGTGCACGCTTGTAATCCCAGCTACTCAGGAGGCTGAGGCAGAAGAATCGCTTGAACCTGAGACCGGAGACTGCAGTAAGTGGAGATTGCACCATTGCACTCTGACGTGGGCAACAGAATGAGACTGCCTCATTAAAAAAAAAGAAGAAGAGGAAGATTGAGTACTAAATAGTCTTATGCCAACTTTATATAAAAACATCACTGGAAGTCCCAGCTAGGGCAATTAGACAAGAGAAATAAATAAAGGGCTCTAAATTGGAAAGGAAGAAGGTGAGTTAGCCTTGTTTGCAGATGATGTGATCTTATATTTGGAAAAACCTAAAGACAGCATCAAAAACTATCAGAACTGAAGAAACCGCCTTTGCAAAAATTGTAACTGAGATCATCATTACAGTGAAAGAGGTCTGACCTAACTGACTCCATCCAGTTTCTAACCTCCAAGCTGTCCTTGTTCATTCCTGGGCGTAGGCTGAACTATCTCTGGGAGGAACTCAGTTTATGGTTTAGCTTTGAAACAAAGACAACAACGGGCCCTTTCCCAAAATAAACCCCCCTTCCTGCCTGGGAACTAGACAGCCTTTGCAGGACTAATACATTAGCCACGAGCGTAGAAATTATGATTTTGGAGTCATGCAGATAGAGGCTGCAAGATTCTGACCCTCCTCATTGCTCCTGGGGATAACATCACTATCGTAAAACCTAAGACCAGTGCTTGAGATGTTTTGCAGACCCTGCATTCAATGGATCAGCCGGTACCACCTGGATCAAAAAAATCTGGCTCACCTGCTCCTATGGCCCCCACCCAGGAATGAGTTTGTCTCTGACCTGACCAGTCAGCACTCCCACCTCACTGGCCCTGACCCACCAAATTATCCTTAAAAACTCTAATCCCCGAATTCTCCAGGAGATTGATTTGAGTAATAATAAAATTCCGGTCTCCTGCACAGCTGGCTCTGTGTGAATTACTCTTTCTCTACTGCAATTTCCCTGACTTGATAAATCAGCTCTGTCTAGGCAGCAGCAGGCAAGATGAACCTGCTGCGTGATTATATTGATAAATTCAGTAAAGTTGCAGGATACAAAATCAACACACAAAAATTACTAGCATTTCTATATGCCAATAGTGAACAATCTGAAAAATAAAGAAAGAAACAATCCCATTTACAATAGCTACAAATAAAATTAAATACCTAGGAATTAGCCAAAGAAGTAAAGGATCTCTATAATGAAAACCATAAAACAATGATGCAAAAAATTGAAGAGGACAACCAAAAAAATGAAAAGATACTCCATTTTTGTGGATTGGAAGAATCAATACTGTTAAACTGTCCATACTACCCAAAGCAATTTACAGATTCAATGCAATCTCCATCAAAATACCAATGCTGTTCTTCACAGAAATAGAAAAAATAGCCCTACATGTACACAGAATCACAAAGACTCTGAATAGCCAAAGCTATCCTGAGCAAAAAGAACAAAACTGGAGGAATTACATTACCTGACTTCCAATTATATTACAGAGTTACAGTAGCCAAAACAGTATGGTACTGGCATAAAAACAGACACAGACTAATGGAATAAACAACTCAGAAATAAATCCATACATTTATAGTGAACTCATTATTGAAAAAAGTGCCAAGAACATACACTGGGGAAAGGACAATTTCTTCAGTAAATGGTGACAGGAAAACTGGATATCCATATTCAGAAGAATAAGACTAGACCTCTATCTTTGACCATATACAAAAATCAAATCAAAATGGGTTAAAGACTTAAATCTATGGCCTTAAACTATGAAACTCCTATAAGAAAACACTGGAGAAACTTCAGGACATTGATCTGGGCAAAGGCTTCTTGAGTAATACCCCACAGGCATAGGCAACCAAAGCAAAAATGGATAAATGGGATCACATCAAGTTAAAAAGCTTCTGCACAGCAAAGGAAACAATCAACAAAGTGAAGAGACAACTCACAGAATGGGAGAAAACTATCCATCTGACAAGGAATTAATAACCAAAATATGTAAGAACCTCAAACTACAGGAAAAATCTAATGATCCAATTTTAAAATGGGCAGAAGATCTAAATAGACATACCTCTGGAGAAGACATACAAATGGCAAACAGGCATACAAAAAGGTGTTCAGCATCACTGAGAAATGTAAATCAAAACTATAATGATATCATCTCACCCCGGTTAAAATGGTTTATATGCAAAAGGCAGGCAATAATAAATGCTCGTGGGGATGTGGAGGAAAGGGAACCCCCTTACGTTATTGGTGCGAATGTAAATTAGTACAACCACTATAGAGAACAGCACGGAGGCCCTTCAAAAAACTAAAAATAGAGCTATTAGATGACCCAGCAACCCCACTGCTGTGTACATACCCAAAAGAAAGGAAATCAGTATATGAAAGAGTAACCTGCTCTCCCATGTTTATTGCAGCACTGTTCACAATGGCCAAGATTTGGAAACAACCTAAGTGTCCATTAACAGACAAATGGATAAAGAAAATGTGGTTCATATACACAATGGAGTACTATTCAGCCATAAAAAAAGAACAAGATCCTGTCATCTGTAAAGACATAGACAGAAACAGAGGTCATCATGTTAAGGGAAATAACTCACATACAGAAAGACAAACACTCCATGTTTTCACTGATTTATGGGAGCTAAAAAAAAAAAAAATTAAAACAGCCCCAGGCACTGAGCTGCCGCTGAGGACTCAGCAGTCTCCCCCTTGAGCCCCCTCACTCCCTAAGTTCCATCCCCGCTGCCTGCCTTTTCCTGCCGCCACCGCCACAGGCCATTTCCACCGAGGAAAAGGAATTGTATCAGAAGTCCACTATCCCAAACCTCTGAGTTCAACCCCTTTGCTGATGCAAGTAAGGGTGATGACCCGTCGTTTCCTGCTGGCACTGAGGATTACATCCATATAAGAATTCAACAGAGAAATGGCAGGAAGACCCTTACTATTGTCCAGGGGATCGCTGATGATGATTACGACAAAAAGAAACTGGTGAAGGCGTTGAAGAAGTTTGCCTGCAATGGTACTGTAACTGAGCACCCAGAATGTGGAGAGGCCATGCAGCTACAGGATGACCAGCGCAGGAACATACGCCAGTTCCTCCTAGGGACTGGACTGGCCAAGGACGACCAGCTGAAGGTTCATGGGTTCTAAGTGCTTGCGGCTCACTGAAGCTTAAGTGAGGATTCCCTTGCAATGAGTAGAATGTCCCTTGTGTCCCTTGTCACAAGTTGAAAAACCTCACAGTTTATATAATGTCATCATTTGGGTTCACTTTGAACTTGGACTAGTGTAACACCTGCATGCAATAAACTGAAAAGAGCCATACGAAAAAATTAAAACAACTGAACTCATGGAGTCAGAGAGTAGAAGGATGGTTACCAGAGGCTGGGAAGCGCAGCTGGGTGGGGTAGGAGTGGGGATAGTAAGTGGGTACAAAAATACACAGGCAGATAGAATGAATAACATCTAGTATTTGATAGAAACAGGGTGACAAAAGCCAACAATAATTTATCGTACATTTAAAAATAACTTAAAGAGTGTAATTGGGATGTAACACAAAAGAAGGATAAATGCTTTGAGGTGATGGAAGCCCCATTGACCCTAATGTAACTGCATACTGCATGCCTGTATCAAAATATCTCATGTACCCCATAAAAATATATACATACTATGTACCCACAATAATTAAAAAATTTTTTTTAAAACTGAAATCTTAGAGCATCAAAAAACAAAGCTTGAGTATCTGGAAGCAAAGGTGTCTACCCATCAGGCTGAGAATTCTAACCAGACCAGGCACGCGCCTACCATGCTCCCCAAACAAAAATTCCACTCCAGCTCAGAGGTGGGGTGGGGGGGGTGGGAGGGGGAAGTAACTTTCACCAGACTTATGTGTAAAAACCACTAACAAAGGCAAGAACCTAACAGACCCTAAGGCCAGGGGAGGGTCGGTACCACAGCTGCCGGCTGGCCACACCTCATTAATTCTCAGGCGCCAGGCGGAAGCTGACCTTCAGTTTGTCAAACAAATTTTACAGTGTGAATTTATCACAAGAACAGGAGCTGGGGATGTGTCCCAAGTATTTCCGAGAAAAACCACTGTTTTCAACCATGTTAAAAGCATCCGTTTGAATTCCCAAACTCTTCTATAGGCTTCTCTCCAGTCACCAAGGGGCCTCTTCCCATCTCTGCTGCTCGGCTGAGCTGGAGCCAGAGGAAGAGGACAGTGAGGAGGGCACACAGTGCAGGTAAGGAAAGTTCACCACTGGGAAGACCACCACAAGCTGTTCACTAATTTTCCCCACCTGGGTAGCCACAGAGGAATGCTTCAATCAAGATTCATTAAAATTTCAAATTCAGTTCCTCAGGCCTTGCTACCTTCTGCAAGAGCTCAGGCCATCCATACAGCACGTGGCCTCTCAATGTCCCCAACCCCATGCTTCTCTTCCTCTGCCAATGGGCCCCACTGTACTGCCTAAGGGTGGTGCCACCATCTCTGGGGTCACCCGGAGGCCCTGGCCCTGGTTCGTCCATGCGCTTAGCATCAACATTACCCTGTGCCCACCCTCCTCCAGGTGGGGGCTCCTCTACCTATTCTTGGTCCCCACAAAACCCTACGAGGTCTCCAGCCTGTGTCACTACAGACTGGATGGTGCAGGCCAAGCCCACTGTCTGAGGAGATGACCTGGCTCAGGGTGGGCACACGGCAGCCTGCAGGCTGGCTTTTATCCGACTGTGAGCTAAGAGTGTTTCCAGACGAACATTTCCAATGAACACAAGATGGGGTCACAGGAAAGACCAACTGAACCCCAATGAAATGTTATGCCCCCTAAAAGGATTCCTCTCTTCCCTTAGGAGACCTGCTATACCCGGCTCCTCCCAGCCCTGACCAGGAGCTCGTACTGGTGGCAGCACAGCACATTCGTCCCCAGCACCCTGAGTTCTCAATGTGAACCAGAAGGGGTGGAAAGGGGCAGGCTTCCTTCTTGGAACCCCAAGACGCTGCCCTGGAGAAGGCAGGGGCCTGCAGCACCCAGGCGGCCCCAGTACGCTCCACTCTTCCATCCCATCTCCTCTCCCCTCATTCTGTAGACAAAAGGCCAGCCTGAGGGGAAGGGACATTTCTGAAAGCAGACAAAATGCAAAACAAAACGAAATACTCCCGGGTCTGTGCCCCGAGAATGGCTTTGCCAAGAAGAGCTGAACAAACATTCACATGGCAGTTTTGTCTCGTCACACACTCAAGCCTTCAGAAAGTACCAGAGAGCGTTAATGACAGTGTCAGATACTTCCACAAGCCTTTTGGGAAGTGTAGACTTGCACTGTGGTCTGTGGACTCCATTTAAAGCCAAAGCAATAATGAACCTGCCTCCTTCTGGGAATAAAGCCAGGCCTGAAGAATCGCAGGTGTCGCTAAGAATTAAGATCAAATAGACATCTGAGCTAAGTCACAGCTGAGGAAAATGTGTGCCTAAGGACAAATGAGAAGGGCACGTTTTGGTATTATCTTAAAACATTAAAATTACTCAGAGTAAATACACATCTGCGACAGAAGACATGGACAGGCTGTTCTAGCAATCCTCAAAACAGCCCCCAACTGGATCAACAGAAATGTCGATGGTAAATGAAAAAACTGATGATGGACATTCATACAACAGAATGCTACACAGCAACGGAAGAGAACAAACCCAGAACACGAGTGAATCTGGCAAAAATGCTGAGCAAAAGAATACATGCAGCATAAAAGTTCAAAAATAGGCAAAACTAAATTGTTTAAGGATGTACACTTCGTTGGCAAAATACACATTGAGGCAAGTTGAGGGTTGCAGTCAGGGCAGAGGCCGCCTCTGAGGGCATTACGATGGGCCAGGCCTGTGGGGCGCACTTGGGAGTGCTGGCCAAGACCAGGCTTCATAATCAGTTTGTTTTTTTTTTTCTCTGTTGCTCTGTTGCTCAGGCTGAAGTGCAGTGGCACATTCTTGGCTCACTGCAATCCCAGGTTTAAGTGATTCTCATGCCTCAGCCTCCCGAGTAGCTGGGACTACAGGCATGCACTATTATACCTGGCTAATTTTTGTATTTTTAATAGAGACAGGGTTTCACCATGTTGGCCAGGCTGGTCTCGAACTCCTAGCCTCAAGTGATCTGTCTGCCTCAACCTTCCAAACTGCTGGCATTACAGGTGTGAGAAACTGTACATGGCCTTCATAATCATTCTTTAAATGCCATTTGTATCAATAGCGAAGACATGGAATCAACCCAGGTACGCATCAATGGTGGACTGGACAAAGAAAATGTGGTACATATACACCATGGAATACGATGTGGCCCTAAAAAAGAACTAAATTATGTCCTTTGCAGCAACATGGATGTAGCTGGGGGCCATAATCCTAAGCAAATTAACACAGAGACGGAAAACTAAATACAGCATGTTCTCACTTTTAAGTGGGAGTCAAATGTTAAGTATTCATGGACATAAAGATGCCAACAATAGAAATTGGGGACTACTAGAGCGGGGAGAGAGGGGGTAGGGGTTGAAATCTAACTGGTGGGTGCTATGCTCAGTACCTGAGTGATGGCATCAATCATGCTACAAAACTCAGCATCACACAATACATCCATGTAACAAACCTGCACATGTACCCCCCCGATCTAAAATAAAAGTTGAATTTTTAAAGAAGATTTCATTGAAAATAAAAATAAAATATGCTATGTATATGTATATACATAGGATATATTAGTAAGAATACAAGTAAAGTTAAAGCATTTTTTTAAAGAAAAGAAATTAGAGTTGGCAAAAGAACCGGAAAATGCTGCCAAAATGAAAGTGAACCTCAGGGCTAATTTATTAGCCTAGAATGTTGGTTGAGCACAGGAAGCAAAAGGGACTTAGGAATCCCTCAGTTCCATTTCGAAACCATCAGAGAGAAGTAGAGACTGAGGCAAAAACTGAACACAGGTCTACCAGCTCAGGCCTGGGCTTTTCTCCCCAGCATCAGGTGCTTCCCACCCTGGGAGGTGGTTTTGGGCACTCTTACTAAACTACTTAATCTTACAAATAACATCTGAGCTCCTTAAGGAGCAACCTTGAGGGCAGGCAAACAGAAAATAAACACTTCTTTCATTTTTCTCCTAGATGATTTCCTTTCTGAGATTCTGTTCCCTTCTTGACCAGAATGGGGTGGTAGCAGAGTTCACACCTCTGCAGAGGAAGGCTAGCCTCGGTCACAAGGTGCACCCAGACCTGCAGGCACCCCCAGCAGGGAGGGAAGCTGGTCTGTGGACGTGCAGTCGCCCACCACTCTCATGGGTACAGCACTGAGGACAAAACACAAGTAAAGCGGCTCTACAGAAGAGGAAAAGGCAGCCTGGTGCAGTGGCTCATGCCTGCAACCCCAATACTTTGGAAGGCTGAGGTGGGCAGACCACCCGAGCCTAGGCATTTGAGACAGGCCTAGGCAACATAATGAGACCCCCATCACTACAAAAAATACAAAAATTAGCTGGGTGTGGTGGTATGTGCCTGTGGTCCCAGTTATTGGTGAGGCTGAGGCAGGAGGATCACTTGAGTCTGGGAGGTCCAGGCTGCACTGAGCTGACTGTGCCACTGCACTCCAGCCTGGGCAACACACTGAGATCTTGTGTCAAAAAAAAAAAAAAAAAAAAAAAAAAAGATAAAAAGGCAATCATTTTTATAAAAATTCCATCTCCAGAAGTAGAAAATTACAAGCTTATTTATTAAATCCATTAAACACACACACACACACACACACACACACACTGTAAAAGCAGGGAAAAAATAAGCTGTTATAAAAAAGAAAAGACAAGTGATGTATCAAACACTTAAACTCTGTGTGTATATAAAGATACAAAAAAGAAAATAATCGTTGTTTTAGGAAAAGTTGGAAGAATTGTTTCTCCACTTTTAAACTATCATTAACACGAATACATTATTTGGTAATTTTTTTTAATTAAAAAAATGAAAAGTACTTCAATATCCTACACGTTGTTACCTTTTCTCTTCTCCTCCCATCAAGCAGAGGGTATTGAGGAGTTCTTTGAGCACAAAAATGTGTCAAAGGAACACATTAAATAATAAAACAAAACTACTCAGCATTATAGTTCCTCAGTCTCCATGGAGGATTAATTCCAGG